TTGATTTCTCTTAGCGCCTTATGTAATTATCAACATCGTGAGGTCTCTTTGTCATGATGTCGTTCAGACGTCTACAGGAGCTTGGCACGCCTCGTAATCGGATCAGAACAAATAATACTCGGCATTTAATGTTTCGACGTGACACTGTCGACGTCGGTGTCGATTACCAGCGAATCCGAGTCTGCAGCGTTTATCTGGCTGGAATTCCGGGAGAGAACGCGCGGCACGAATCCTGTGTGACATCTCTGCCGGGGACCTAAATGGGGTCTGGCACGAATCCTGTGTGACATCTCTGCCGGAAATAAATGGGGACCTTAAGCGTCGCATTGAGACAGTGGCGCGAGCTCCCGCTTTTGCTGAAGCTATCGGTATTCTAATTACTCGCAGCGCGAAAATAGCGAGGAACTTGGGGCGCGTAATTACACCGGAGGACGCGCGCCGCCTTATTAAGCTATCTCATTTTCTTCGGCGAGCAGCAGGCCGCTCGATGGCTTCGCCGGTCGTGCTTCTTCCTTGAGTTTTATCCGATAAAGGACGGCGCGATCTACGAGCCGGGAAATACGTCGGGGGATGACCTCGGAATAGCGAGTGAGGGTACGAAGAGCTGGAAGCTCGATGGTCAACGTCGACGATTACCGCGCAAGAGAAAAAAAAGAAAAAAGAAAAAAAGAAACGCCGTCGTCTTTTCCAGGTTTATTTAACTCCCCTCTTCAAAAAGGGTCTACCGAGCACAAACTCCGAAACTTCGCTCCCGCGACGCGCCTCTAACTACAAGTTTGAAAGAATAACGTGAACGTCGAAGTTTGGACCCTGACGACGTTAATAACAATGCAGTCGCCCGTATTTTTTCGTTTAGTTAATTGCAAATACTATCGTAGTACAGAATCAATTGATGCGAATTTGCAAAAAAAAGTTTTCAAGTAAACAATCATTGCGAAACTAATTTCTGCGTATATTTGCGTACATAATTGTTTAAAAAATTTAGTATTTTAACCCTTAACTACAGCTCTGAAAAGCATCTTTAACTTGCACGGAAAGGTTTTGCTATAAAAGTATCTAAAAATTTAGCTAGATGCAGATCTGAAAATAATTGTATTGTACTATTAAAATAATTATGTATGTACAATGTTCAAATTGGTTATTAGAATGTCGCGCGCGCGCGCGAAAATTTTAGCAATATTACTCATAGTGCTTGAGATTTCTACGTAATCACTTTGATAGTCCGACAATACTGACCTGAATTTAACTAAATTTTTAGATACGTCAACAAAATCGTTCTTTCCGTGTATACATTATACGTTTTTTGAGCTAAGGCTTTTTCTCTTTGTTGCATCTTCTATGAATTTTAATGGATTATAATTAATTTTTTTCAATTAAAACGCAAAATTATAGAATCCAAATTTGTAAACAAAAAAAACGTTTCGATGATAACGTTAAAAGTTATGACTAAAAATATAATGTGTGCACGGAAAGAACGATTTTGTTGACGTATCTAAAAATTTAGTTAAATTCAGGTCAATATTGTTAGACTATCAAAGTGATTACGTAGAAATCTCAAGCATGATGAGTAATATTGCTAAAATTTTCGCGCGCGCGCGACATTCTTAATAGCCAATTTGAACATTATACACACATAAGTAAGAGTTTTGCAGAAAAGTGTGAAAAAGAGTGTTTTACGAAAGTACCGTTTTGGAAAGAGGAAATTATAAACTTTAAGAAAAAATACATTACAACTTAAAGTTAAAATTTGATTTCTCAAAACAGCATAACTATTTCAATAGATGAAATTGATGTGTGAGATCAGTTTATATGCTGAAAGTATGAAGAAAATAATATTATAAATATAATAAATTGACACAAATGATTATTAATATAAATATTATTGAAATTTTGATTAATTATAATTAATGTAAAAAGTAGAAAAGTTTTATTGATGGTTTACAAATGGTGGCAAATTCCACAAAGCGTGCCTTTGTTTTCTTTTTTGTTTTAAAAATTAAATAAAAATAGCTTAGCACTTCAGAATAATATGAAACGTTAATTTCAAAAGTATCAATAAATATTTCATAAGAAAAATGATTTTCTCATCTTTTACTTATAATTTTATTATTTAATTTAAAATAACATGAAGCCGACACTTTTACAATAAAACTGAAAAGAAATGTGTTCCTTTATAAATAAAACTATTTTTTCACTAGAATATTCAGTTTCAAATATTAGTGAAAAATTTATGAATCTATAACTTCTGAGTCTAAATAATCCAAACTAGATTTCTAAAGCATCCTATTTGAAGTACAAAGAATGCAACTGAACCTCCGCTTATGACGATTAAGAAAGGAAAGTTCAGCTTTTTTTACAATTTAGAACCTTGTAGTGTTAATTGTATAGAGGTGCCAACAAGCTAAAGTCTTTATTCGTATTCAAGTAACCCGTTGCTATAATAGAGAGTTAATTAGACTCGATTTAATAAACTCGATCAAATAAACGGAACTAATTGACACAATTCCAGTAGTACTTCCTACAAAATTATAATTGGGTCTATAACTAGTAATTATAAATCTATAAGATCGCGTGAATATATGAGGTAATTATTTTTGCATATTGATAAAAAAACTGTTGGAATTTAAAAAGGGTTTAGATTATTTTTTATTTGCCATTTTACATGTCGTGTTATACACAGACTTCTACATTCATCGAATCCTCGGCCGTGGAGAGTAATTGTCGTGTGCAAACTTATACGGCAATGCTTCACGCGACACATTCACGCACCATACGATACTATCGCGAACGACTTTGCGGAACAAGTCCACGGGAGTTCGTCACACGAACCGTTCCACGAAACTTGCTCCGAATGGCCGCCGCAGTTCGCCCACACTTAACAACTTTTCCACGGGGGCTCAGCATGTATCTAAATCACTTCTCGCTAACGATAATCTCAGCCTTAGAGGGCATAAGCTTAATCGCGCCGCGCTAATTTCCACTCGAAACTCTCCAGACTGCAATAGTCGTAACATTCGCATGAGAGCCCGCGTATGAAAACGTGCCAAGGAACCTCACCATTTTAAGGGCTCGTTCTCGATCCCCTGCCTCCCTCCCTCTCTTTCTCATCCTTCTTTCCTCTGTATGCTCCTAGTCGGCTTAAGAGTACGTAGCTTTTAATCGCGAACTTACGTAACGCGAACACGAACGCCATGTTAAGGTCATGTACTATCCGTTAAGTTCTAAAGCACCAGATCCAGCAGTTACATCCATCGGCCATTGCGACGAGCTAATTAGCTAGACGGTCTAATGCAGAGCCGACAAGGCGATTTCGACCGATATATTCTCCGGTTTAATTCTAACGACCAGCACCCCGCTAATCTCCCGAAATTAATCACCGCTGATGTAAGCCAGAAACGCTCGCGGACCGCGCGCGACGTAATTTCCGTCGGCAGGACTCCATTCTCCTCGTTTGTATCCACTGCTGGGATTTTCAATAGATACCGCACCGGGCACTCAGGAACATTTCGGAATCGCTCTCCATGCCGTTCTATTATCTTATAAATGGCATACTCATCATGGCCATGCGAATTTGCTTTGAGAGTACGAAATGATATTACGTCTGCCTTTTCTTGAATGCAATAATAATTTGCAATAATTATTTCATTTTATACTGTTGATATTATTTTAGTTGAGTTAAAACTAATTTCTCAGTTGCATTTATTGTAAATGAAAATTCGTCAGAAATATATATGTTTTAAATAAAATTTTATCTATAACTACAAAGCATTTTTTTAAAATAATTCATATTTCTAAACCTATAAGAAATGTCAACAAATAAATACTATTCAATTAAGACTTACTCAAGGTAACGTTTTAATGATGTCTTCTCGTTAAGACGTTATTAAGATGTCATTTGATGTCACTTTGCTACTTGGGTATTTATCTCCTTGACATACGCACTCATAAAATGAACGTAAAGACAATTTACAGAGACTTGTAACATTTTTCTATCCTCGTAACTCTCAAGAAAACGTCTTTCTTCCCAAAGTGGCGCAGCTTGAAGTATCGGGGGGAGGGGAGCAATGAAACCGTGTCCGCAAGAAACGATATATTCGTATGTGACTACTGTGAAAAGGAGCGTGGTTTCCATCAGACGTATAATAATGCAATTACCAACGAGTTCGAGATTAAGCGGGAAAGAATTACAGAAAAGGAGCCGTTCGTTATGCGTATACGCGGGCTGACGGGATGAAGCGGATGGAATTCGAGAAGTGGAATCCAGGATAATTCTCACTTAATCCTCGGACACAGTCCTTGTGATGAACCATTCGTTATGCCTCGCGACGACAACGAGTATTTTTGTCGTGGCATCACCGGCCGCGCGCGGATAATCCCATCTCCGATATTGCTTCCATCTTTAATGCACTCGAAGTCCATCCACTTCGAGACGTATTATACGTCGATCGGCAAGTATCGGTATCGAATCGTGATCGTCGATCGTAGTTTGGGAAACTTGCCGAACTTGGTCGGCCCACTTTTGTCTGTTTTCCAAACTGAATTTTATGGCGACGGAGTCGCGCTATATTTATTGCGCTGTCAATAGTATTGTTTTGATACTCGTACGATTTCACAGATCGAAAAGTGATCTTCAAAGTAATGAGAAAAGAGTAAAATAACAATTTTTAGATCTTTCTAAGTAGGAAACTCATTTTATTTCAATAATTTAGCGGATTCACTACTTCAGTGCTTCGGTGCTGACATAAATTTTACTGTGCACAATTCGCAAGTCTTGCACGTAGAGGCAGAATGGTGAAAGCGTAGAACGGTACTATAGAATTATATCTGTTGATTCGCAGATATCACACACAAGGAAACGGCAGACAACTGGAAGAGGCGCAGCGTCGTTTGGCCATTGAGGACTCATCTTTGGTCATAAAAGGTGTCTGGTGGATAAACCGTGAAAG